CAAAACTGTGAGATCACGATGTGAGTCAAAACCAAGAGTTGGACCCTTAAACTGATGGAACCACCTGGGGGGGGGCCTCCTCTACATTTTACAGATAAGAAAACCCAGGGTCAAAGAGGTCAGGAAACTTGCCCCCAGATATCTGGCTAATCACTGATAGAGGAGCATCAAACCCAGGCCTTCAGATTCCCTGTTCCTTCCACTCGCTGAGACCTTTCTGATCTTCCAGAAGGCTTTCAAGACATTGCTCAACTTTACCTCTCCTCTGCACCTCAGTTCTCCTTGTCGAACAGGGACTGTCTACGCATCTGGGCAAAGCCACGGCCACCCCCATTTGGCAGAAGTCCCAGAGTGCCCTGAGGTCTCCTTGTAGCATGGCTTGGAATCCGGAGTGGCCTGCTCTGGGACCAGCTGTAAACATACCGTGCCCACGTGGCATGTGTACAGCTAGTTTCTTTACGTGCCAGACAGAGGAGAATCAGACAAAGTTACCTGGAGAGAATGCCTGACACGAGGTGTGCGAGCAAGTGGCTGACAGCCAGTTCTCTGGGTGGAGCTTGGAGAGAGGCCCCGTTTTGGAGCATTTGCCAATTTCCATGGTGTAAATGCTCAACCGGGCCACTTTCGAGCCACCGGTGTGATACCAACCAGCTCACAAAAGTCCAGAAGATTTATCAGTTGCTTTCACCAGCCAGAACCAGGGAGCTCCAGCACTTCATGTCACTTAATGACCCTACCCTGCCCCTGGTCTGTCCAGCCTCTCCCCTGCTCCTGCTCTGGATGTGCCCCCCAGGAACCTCCCAGAACCTCCACAATGTGCCCCCTCCTCCAGGCCCTGAGCCAGCTGCTGGGGGCCGCTCCTTTGGAGCTCCAGTTCTTGGGAAATGGAAGTCTCTGGCTAGAAAAGGGGATCCATTTGGAGGTTCTCCAAACCTGGAGAAATGCAGAGTTTGCTGAATTGCCCCTCCCCCCCGAGCTAAATAAATTTGAATCACTGTCCAGCTCAGAGCAGATCCGCTCTCTTCTCCCCCCACCCCCAACCCTCCCTGAGCACCAAGACCTGCCTCTCAGCTGGGGCCTCTGGGGATGCTTGCTGGCAGGTGGCTGCCTTTAATTTATTCTTATTCTCTGCTTGTGTGTCCGTACCCCAGCAGTCCTGCCCAGAAAGGGGAGGTGAGAGGAAAAGGAGTATCTCCCCTCATCCTTGTCTCCCTAGCCCATCTTCACAGAGGTCCCTTGTGGATTCCTTCAAGGACACGAGGAAATACACCCTTAGTGGGCAAGGCAGGGGCATACCAAACTCCCCTACACTTCACCCCGAAACCAGCTCTGCGGCCATAGCTCTGCCCTGCTTCAGAACAGAAGCACATTTTGGAAATTATGTTTCGTGACAACAACCACCCCGCCATCTTGGGAGCCCTTCAGAGTTTCCCAAGCATTCCTACCTACTGTAGACCATCTCATCTGAGCCTCTTGTCAGCCCCGTGCAGCGGGCAGTGATTGTTAGAGTTCCTGGATGTGTCCGAGCCTGTCAGTGTGGGGACTTCAGAGGCCACCCAGCTGGAGCGTCCATTCCCCTCCATAGGGGCCCAGCTGACCAGTCTCTGCTTGGCCCCTGCCGTAGTGAAAACTCACCGCCTCCTGGATGCAGCCCATTCCAGGGCTTGGAAATGTATTATGTGGGTTGAGCCCAAATCTCTCTCCATTCAATACAGATTGAATGAATTGCTTGTCGTCTGACCCCTTGGGGCATGCAGAGCAAAGCTGATGTGATTGGACCCCTTGTTCCGATATTCAGAGGGCGCTTTCATATCCCACCTATCCCTGACCCTCCAATCTTCCTTACCTATCCCAGATTCAAGTATTTCTCCCACGACATGGGACAGAATGCCTCCACCAGCCTGATCAATCCTCCGAGTGCATTCTCCTCCACGGGTCTCAGCAGAAACGAATGAGACTAGAGGTTCTGTGTGAGTCATACTTCTGTTAATGCATCCTCAGATAGCATGAGGTTAGGCTGCTTGTCTTGGCTTTTTTGACAGACACATTACACTTTGGATGTATTGAGCCTTCTGTCAACTCAAACATTGCTATTAAACCTTGTCGCTCCTGTTCTGCACTTATATTATTGATTTTATTTTTTGGCCCAAGTGTTAGAAGTGTTACATTCCAACTTAGGTGATGAAAATTAATCTCATTAAACTTAGCCTGTGGCCAAAATCTGTAAAGATCTTTTGGATCTCAGTCTCCTGTCACCTATAAATTTGGTGAGCATGTCTTCAGATACCCTCTAAATCACCGATAAAAATATTGAAGAAGAGGGCTAAGGAGAAAGCATGTGTCCTAGAAGCCTCCCTCAAGCAGACCTCTATCCTTTAAACGTCATCCTCCGGGTATACCTTACTAATCCACACAGTGGTCCGCCGGTGCGTCTGTCCATGGCTTCCTCAAGGCTGTCGTGGGAAGTGCCTTGCTGAGGTCACTGTCCGTATGGTTTCCTTGCCTGTCAGAGTAGTCATCGTGTTAAATCCAGAAACTGAGTTCCATGAGAACAGGCACTCATCCTTGGGACCTCAGTGCCTACCTAGCACAGTGCCCGGTGAATTGCCAACAACTCAGGAAATATTTGAAGAAATGACCATTTGCATTAGTGGATGGAAGAAACTGTCCCCGCTCCATGTGAAGATTAGCAGTATTTAGTTTTTCTGATTCCACCTTCTTTCCCTAGTTTGAAAACTGGAACATTTGTTTCTACTTTTATCCTTATAGCATCTCTTTAATACTTGTGATCCTAGGGCCACCTGGGTGGCTCAGTCAGATAAGCATCCAACTTCAGCTCAGGTCATTATCCCACAGTTCATGGATTCAAGCCTCAAGTCTGAGCTGTCAGCACAGAGCTTGGAGCCTGCTTTGAATTCTGTGTCTCCCTCTTTCTCTCTGCCCCTCCCCTCCCCGCCTCATGCTCTGTCTCTCTCTCAAAAATAAATAAACATTTTTTAAAAAAACCTCCTAATAATACTATGTGAACTTTAAAAAAAATACTTATGGATCCTAAAATGACACCAATTGGCTTGCTGATGAGAAAATAAGAGTTTAGGAAAGACAAAAGATTTGCCCAAGGTCAAAGGCTAATAATGAGAGAGCTCAGGATTCAAGCCATTGCCTGCAGGCTTAACAGTTGATGCTATGTCTAGCCTCTGATGTTGAGTTTGGGAGAGTTCCCCAGTTCAGCCAACAATGAGAAGGGTGTTTCTTCCTAACGAAGTATGATGCGGAGCCAGTACATTAAAGCAGATATGTCTTTTTTCAGACATGAAAGATCTCATTCACTGCCTATCATTCATTCATACATTCATTCATTCAACAAATATTTATTGAGTATCTGCTAGTGCCAGGCTTTTCTGGGCTCTAGGAATACAGCTGCTAATCAGGCCATCTTTGAGCTTAAGTTAATTGAGAATAGGAGAGAATATAAGCAAGTAGATATATAGTATCTGATCATAGAAAGGCCTATAGAGTGAAGCAGAGTAAGGTCATTGGAAGGAACTGAGGGGCCCTATTTTACTCTGAAGACGTGGCATCTGAGCAGAGACCTTAAGAAAATGAAACAGCAAAAGCAAACCAAGTGTCTTGGGGATCATAGCAGCAGCATGAGCAATGATGTGCCTGGGCTGATGCAAGAACCATACTTTTTCTTCCAGAAAGCAGAGACCTAGATCGTATGATAAGCATTCCAGCTATACAACATCCGATTCTTTTAAGATGTATTCATTCATTCATTTTCTCAACAAAGGCCAAGCACGTACTCTGTGTCATCTGGGAGCTACGGATGAAGGTGCCACCAAGGCTTCAGTGGGGAAGGCAGACAAGTGTACCAAGCCCAACAACACTGGTGCTATGGATGGGCTGGAAAAAAAAGAATAGTTGAGGCATGGTCATCATTCATGACATTTTAGGGATCCATTTGACTAAGGAGAATATATTATAAAAAGCATTAAACTCTATAAGGGTAGTTATCAAAAAATGTAAGCCATCTAATCATTTCATAAAATTTTATACAGGGACACCTGGGTGGCTTAGTCAGTTGAGCGTCTGACTTCGGCTTAGGTCATGATTTCATGGTTCGTGGGTTCAAGCCCCATGTCGGGCTCTGTGCTGACAGCTAGCTCAGAGCCTGGAGCCTCTCTTCAGATTCTGTGTCTCCCTCTTTCTCTGGCCCTCCCCCGCTTGTGCTGTCTCTCTCTCTCTCTCAAAAATAAATAAAACATTAAAAATTTTTTTTTTAATTTTATACAGAAAGCCCAACATATAACATTAAAAGGAGTTGCTCTGATTGGCACAAAATTGGGGGCACAGGGATACCTTCAAAAACATTACGTAGGACGAAAATCCCTGCCCTGAATGTTTGTTGTGGCTGAGAACAGAAATCTGTCCAGTGTCCACTAAAACCTGCTTGTCTCCAAACACCCAGGTAAATCAAATTTGGAGACCTGTTCGATGATCAATCAAAACCATTAAAATGGTTACTTCTGGCTTGGGTTACATGGACTAAACCTCTTCCCAAATGAGAACTGATTGAGCTAATTTTTTTTTCTGCTCTCCAAAGTCATCAAGTCAACTCCTACTGCCCAGTCCAGCCCAAATGACTTATAGGAACAATTTAAAGGGTTCATCATTTTGGTTTCTTCTGCTTCTTGGCAGAGGTAGCCACCCTAATTTGCATTAAGAAGAATCAGTCGTCTCTTCTAAAGAGTGCTGGTGCACCACCCAGTTTTGTAGGCTCCTTAATTATTCTCTAGAATGTTTTCACCTAGAGGTTGCTTCCTTCTCACTGTAGCACGCAAACAAACAGATGCTGGTTGCAAACTCACAATTCCCTTGCACACATTCTCCTGTTCACATGCAGACACCACTGGCTGAGGCGGGCCCCCCAATTCCAGCTGGGGAACCAGGTGTCCGGGCCATACTAACCTGCCTCCTCCCCTTTTCTCTCTCTGCAGATGACAGCAACTGCTCAGGCGCCCTCTAAGACCCAGGCTGTCCACATCTCCGCACCCTCGGCTGCTGCCAGCACACCTGTGCCCAGTGCCCCCATTGACCCCCAGGCCCAGCTGGAGGCTGACAAGCGAGCTGTGTACAGGTAGGAGATGCTTCAGCTGTATTGGGAAGCCACCCCCCACCCCCACCCCCAGTCAGCCTCTGGCCCAGCTCAGCCTTGGGAGAGGAGAACACAGGCCAGCGGGTGGGCACATAAAGACAATGGCCAACAGCTGCTGTCCTTGCCGCCTTCTCTCTCAAATCAACCTGGACATCCCTCAGCTGGCCAACCAATGTGGGTTGATGCTAGCTTCCTGGGATTGTCTGGTGAGGACCAAGAGGGCCCAGGCAATATCTTCCAGAAGGACCCTTTCCTCATCCCAGCTGGGGACTGAGCCCCCTTGAGCATCAGAAACGCTCTGCTCAGCAAACTGCTGCCTGCTTGCATGTCCCCTCCGTGCTTCACTCCAGCAAGCACACTGGCCGTCTGCTGGTCCCGTCTAGGACGTGGAATTACACAAACTTTAGCATGCCTGAAACCCATTGGGAGATCTTATTAAAATGCATATTTCTGGGCTCCATGCTCAGAAATGCTGAATCAGTAGGTCAAGCCCTAGGAAGAGGAATATGAATTTTTAAAAACCATTCCAGGGGGATCTAATGCAGCCGGTCCTCTTTTTTTTTTTTTTTTTTTTGATCCATGACTGTCTTTGTTTTATAGCGAGAGGTGTAATGTGTGGCTGTGTACATTCTGGTACCCTGCTTCCAGATGGGGAGTTTTCAGAGAGCCGGCAGCCAAGAGCAGGGCCAGGCCCTGAATGTTCCGGGGGGGCGGGGCTGGGAGGGGCCCAGGGGCTGTCTGGTGTGTCCATGTGGTTGACAAGATGCAGTCCTCTGAGAGCCGCCCTGAATGAAGCCCCAGCAGATACGTTAGTCATTGTTTTTCCTTTGGGGCACCCACGCCACCAGAAAAGATGCCCGAGTCGGCATTCAATATTAAGGTGACACCCTTGCTCACGCTCGCTTGTGTGAGCACATACATTCATGTGTATCAGCCAGCGCATCTTGCCTGTGGCTGGACACACCCTGCAGCAGGTGCCAATAATCCGTCACATGGGCAACGGTCTGGCTGAGACGAACGGGAAGGAGATTGATTCCTGCCTCACTCCTCCCCGTAGTGACAGTGCTTTTATGGTAATGGTGGTAATTACTGCTGTTATTATCATTATCGTTGGCATTATTTTTAGTTACTCTGATGAGCTGAGTGCCTCTAATGCCAACACGGAGTCCTGAGCAGTGAGCCCTGATCCACAGGTCCCGCCGAGAGGGTCTTTCCCAGCCCTGCCGGAAGAAGTCACCGTGCCTGTGCCCGACTCTGCCCAGTGCACAGGGCAGGCCCGGTTGCGTGCCAGGAAAGAACTCTGCTTTGGACCCCGAGGAACTCCCACATCTGGTCACAGTACCTGTCAGGGAGACTGGGCACTCCCGTCCTCCTGACTCCCCTTCCTTCGCACTCGTTTATCGAACCCTTACTATTAATAAGTGGAGGCGCTGAGCTGGACTTCAGGCAAGAGAGGGTAAACCCATCAAAACAGACGCGTGGGCTCTTCCCCGTCTCTCCAGGGACAGAAAAATAGGCAGACGAGAAATCAACACAGTGTGGTCAGGGCTTTAACAGAGAAGGCTTCACTGAGGAGGCAGTATTTGAGTTTGATCTTAAAGGCTAGTACGAGAGTCCACCAGGAGGAGAAATGCGCTAGAGTAGGGCCTTCCAGACAGAGCAGAGCCTCCGTGTTCCCAGAATGGCCAGTGGCCAGAGCACCTGCTGTGGGGAGATGAGGCTGCACAACCACCTGGACATTAAACCCTGAGGTGGGCTTGTGCTTTTGTGAGGGGCATGAGAAGGGAGAGTACCGTGGCGTCTGAAAACCTCCTGATGCTCTGATGGCTTGGGGCTTACAGTCATCATACTCCATGTAGGTCATTGCTACCCATAGTATGGCCCAGTGGCTAACAGCCCAGGGCTAACAGCCCTGGATCCCCTGGGAGCTGTTTAAAGACGCAGACTCTCGGCCCCGCTCATACCATGTGACCTGTGTGCATCGACCCAGGCATCTTTGCAGACAGGGGACACAGACCTGTAATGAGCACAGATCATAGTCTAGAAAGGTGCCTGATGAAACCCAGGCTTGAGTCCCACCTCATTTTGTGTACTTACCTCCGTGAGCTTTGGTTTCAGGACAGAAGCTAACCGGGGGGTTCAGTAGGTCATTGAGAGAGCTCATGTGAGCACCTGGCTCTGTGACACAAAGCAGATGGCCTCCCTAGCCCTTCCCAAGGTCCCAGGCCCATTCCATGTGTCCTCCTCCCAGGCCAACCTGTGGGAGACGTGGGTCACCTCTCCCATGGGAGCTGTTCATCATGATGTCACTTGAAACATAAAGGCCCAGACAGTCCTCCAACCAACACTGTTTCCCGCTCACCTTCGCACCCAAGCTTTAACTTCTCCCACCGGGCTGAGCCCCCAACTGCCCTCGGCATTTGCCCCAATTTTCTCTGTCGCTGTCTGACCGTGAAGAAGGAACCCCAGGTTGGTTGCCACCAATCGCCCAGACAAACATGGCCGCCCAGCATCTCAGGACAACCGAGAGAGCTGATACTGGCACCTTTGCCGGCTTTTCTCTGCAGTCTCTCCTGTCCCAGGGACCCGGGGTGTTCCCCCACAACCACACCTCTCCCATTAGTACCAGCTCTTCTCTCTACAGCCATTGCAGGATGACCGGGGAGGGAGCTCAGCCTCCTGAAGGGTCAGGTAATTTTAATTAGATTTGCCTGCCTTGGGGCAGCCTGGCTCGTCCAAAGCACATCAGGGAGTCAGCATTTTATGTCAATAAATGTAACAAGGCTCTTTCAGTTCAGATTAGTGCCCAGCACTGACTTCTGGGAGACCCCACTGGGGCCCCTCCCGGAACCACAGATGAAGGAAGGGCGGAGGGGGCCCCTTTCAGACCAAGCCTCTGCAGGGTGGCAGGGGGACAGTGTGACAAAAAGGAGGGGTGTGCCTGTGAGCCCAGGGAGCCTGCCAGTGCCCCTGAGGTTCTATTTGTGTATGAGGATGTGTTAATGAAATGTATTGGTTCCTTCTGATGTGGAAAGTGTGTGTGTGTGTGTGTGTGTGTGTGTGTGTGTGTGTGTGTGTGGTGGGGGAGAGGGGAGGCAGTCTGTCTTTAATTGGATCATACCAGAGCATCATCTGGGCTAATCAGCAAGGCAACCGGAGCTCCCGCTCGGATTAATGATTGCAGTCTAATCCGGACAGATTCCATGATTGGATGCACATGGTGGGTAATTGTGTTTGTGGCCCAAGAACAGAGCTGAGAGAGGGTCTGAGGAGGGGAGGCCCTGTGCAGTGAGGACCACCGTATGTTCGGACCTAGTGCAATCCTCCCTTTCCCTAGCCCCCCACCTCAGCCCTGGGGCTTTCCCCCAGGAAGTTCAAACTTTGCTTGGACCGCCCCACCCCATCCCTCCATGCGGGTGGACGGTGTCAGGTGCTGTCCGGGACCTGGTGGTTTGATGGCCAGGCTTGCAGAGACAGGGCCAGGAGGGTGGGGTTAATCCAGCTTTCACTCTCCCTCCTCCCCTCCAGTCTCCTTCGTTCCTGTTTGAAGTGAGTGGGTTCCCATGGAAACCATGATGTCCTTGGGAGCAAGAAGAGTGGCAGGGAGTTAGGCCTGGCCAGGTGCGAGGCCGGGAGGAGGTCCGCTTTGCTGAGAAAACTCTGCTCAGGCTCTGGTTCTCCCCCATGAGACTGAACAGCTCTCTGAGAAAAGGGGCCCACTCAGCGCAGAAGTTACCTGCTATTGACAGGAAATGCCAGGCTGTAGACTGAGCAGTGAGAGAGTGGCGGGGGCAGCATACTTTGCTTCTGCATTTAAAATGCCCGAGAATCGAGCTGCTGAGCAGGTGGAGAGGGTGGCTGGCTGTTGCCCACCCCCCCACACCCCGTATTTCTCCTCTGTGCCACAGCTCACAATTGAATTGATTTCATTAATAGTGTTTCTATTTCCCCCACTAGATTGTTAACTCCATGAGGGCAGGGTCTATGTCTGTTTTATTCATTGATCTATCCCTGGTGCCCTATACAATACCTTAGAGTCAGCAGCTTGGACACAGTATGCACGAGAGCTTGTTGAATGGATTTATTAACTAGGCTAGGCGGCACCTCATAAATACACCAGCGTTCTAGGCTGGCGTGCTGGCTATCAGGGGCTAGGTGACAGAGAGCCATGGAGTGTAGCATTTGCTGATTTCCACGGTGGAAATGCTCCTATCGTGGCCAATTTCTTTATTTTTTAAAAAATTTGTTCAGTGTTTATTTTTGAGAGAGATGGAGACCATAAGCAGAGGAGGGGCAGAGCGAGAGAGGGAGGGAGACAGAGGATCTGAAGCCAGCTCTGTGCTGACAGCAGAGACCCCAACATGGGACTTGAACTCACAAACTGTGAGATCAGGACCTGAGCTGAAGTCCGATGCTTAACCAACTGAGCCACCCAGGCGCCCCCACCATGGCCCATTTCAAACTACCAACGGGGTACCGCTGAACAGAGTTGCCAAGAGGGGCACCCAGTTGGCTCTTGCCTGCCGCAAGTACAACCCCCCCACCCAGGTAGGCAAGCTACACGCCCACAGTCTTCTGATTTTGACGAGGTCAGTACATCTTCTAACCAATTCTTTGGAACGGTTTCATTCATATCTTTAGCCATGATCCTACATTTCTCCATCATCCTCATGGGCCTGAATGGTCTTTTCCTGGGTTCTAAATTTGAAATGTTCTGTCTTGATGAATTAACAGCTTCAAACAGTGTCCAGCACGGAGTAGGCGTTTGCAATTGTGATTTTTCATTTTTAACCCCAAGGCAGTGAATTTTCTCCTTCCTAGTTTCTACCCAGCACTGTCTCTTCCCATCTGCTTGGGCAAGGCCCCGCCTTCACCCCAACGTCCCCACCTTCTCCAAGTGGATGCCAGGCCCTTCTTGGTTTACCTGTTAACAAAAATTCCTTCCTGGAAGCTTCAGAAACCCTACATCAAACCAGGCTTTG